GTTACTAGGTGAACTAAACTGTAATTAGATTTCCAAGTAAATTCTAGGTGCTACTACATGTTGTATAGAGCTGTGCATCTTTCTTATTTGTTCAAGGCAGTGATTACAGGGGGCAGTCTGTACAGCTTTTGGCTATGCTGCCATGTTTCCTCTTAAAAACTATCTGAAAGGTGTTTTGGGAGGAGATTTTTTTGCATCCTGCAGCTGTAGGGAAAATTAGCTTTGTGGATTGGCCTCTGGTATTTGTCCAGTTTTTTCTTGAGATAATTTTATTCAGTAAACATTTTTCAGATTGTTTTGGTGTTTTCTATGACTACTATGCAGCCATGGTGTGTTGGGCTCTAAAAAAACCTGAAAACAATGGAGGAGTTCAGCAATGCCCCCATGAAAGCCATCAAATCAGAGTTTTAAATTACCTATGTGCCTTGATTGTGTCTATAAAATAAGTGGGAAGGCAAACGGGGATTTAAGATTTTGCCAGATGATTTTGCAGGACTGGGTTCACAGGAGAAACTACACGGGTCCTTTTTTCTAATAAGTATTTGTTTCAGGACAGAAATATCAAATGTAGTAAATATGTGAGCTGAAATACAAGTCTCTGCTAGACCATTGCTGTGTCAGCACGTTGTATGGAAAAAAGTATCTAAAAAGTTGGTGCCAATTCATTGTAGTATAGATGTGCCTTAGTGCTGGTTTAGAGCTGCAATGCAGGGTTTTGTTTCTCAGGACAAGTAGCCCCAAAGGACTGAACATGCAGTGCCATTTCCTGGCCAGTCTGTAAGGCTCAATTCCATGCCACAGCCTTTTTATTCCTGGACATCCATGCAACTGTGCTCAATAAAGTAGAGCTTTTCCTGCCCTGGGAGTGTGTTTGGTTGAAATTAACATGATTAATATTGATTAAGATGCCAGTATTTTGTATGTTGGTTCTGCAGGTCAGCTAGTTTGCTTTCAAAGGTATCACCAAAGATGCCTGTCCTAAGCTGCCTTCTTGCTGCCAGTCCTTCTGCTGCTGTTCCTCTACATTACTTCAGGTTGCCAGGGTCAAATCTTACTTCAAATACTGGGATAAATCCGGGTGTGCTTGTGTGCAATTCTAGGCTTCTGTCCTTGGTGTGAGAGCCATCAGGCCATGCGTGTGTCTGCAAGAGACTGGAGGTGAAGCAGCTAAGGAAAGATTGCAGATTCCCAGCAGAGGCATGTGAGGGTGTTTTTGTGTGACACGATGTACCTGGTGACAGCAGGTACCAGCACACAGGTCATGGCACTACCTGAGATGTGACACAGGCTGCTTGTGCGTCAGAGCAGAGGGAAAGAGACCGTGGAGAACTGCGAATCAACAACTCATCCATCAGACACACACAGAAGAGGGAGCCACAGGCTTGTTGGGTGTTCAGTGGGATGGGAAACAGCAATTAGGCTGTAATTAAGCAGCAGTAGCACTGATAAAGAAGTGCCAGAGGCTATTGCCTTCTAACAAGGCTTCTGATAGAAAGCCACAGCCCATAAAAGTCAAATCTTTTCCAAGGTCAGAGTTTCTGAAACCTTGGTAGGCACAAATCTGCCACTAAAATCTGGTAAAATGGAGTGAGCATTTTAGGAAATATTAAACACTTTGGTGGTCCTCTCAGCACAAGCTTCTTTTTTCTAAATAATTCAACATAAATTTACCTTCCTTTTCAGAATTTTCAGAGGGAGAGGCCTCTGCATTCTGCTAGACCCCTCTGATTTCCCTGTCCTGGTAAGGTGGGTCACGCAGTCCAGGCTGGTCCCTTCACAGTACAGGTACAGAAATCAACACGTTAGAAACCAAAAGCTATTGCACCATAAAAAAAGCCTTCAAATTTGAGCAACTTCCAGCTTTATTGGCCACCTTATTTTAAATTACACTTAGAGAAATTCTTATTGACACATTCATGAGGAGGTAAGTCACTTATTTAATCACTTAAAGTATTAAAGACTCTGGTTTCCTGAGACTTGACTGTTCTGCACTGCAAACACCTGCTTGTCAGGAGAACAGAATTCAAAAGCAGAAAGTGTTGTTTTTTGTACAAACACTGAAGACTCCAAATTGTTTTTACCTCTTCTTTGAATAAACAGTATTACTTCTGCTTCTGGAGAAGAGCAGGATCTGGTTAGGTGTATGTAAAAGTGTCCTCTACCAGTCTGAACAACACCCACTTGGCTCCCTGGAAACAAAGAGAGAGGCTTCAAAAGTGTCTGATTAGCTGTTAGCCTGTTTTCTTGACAATTTCCAACTTTCCTTTTATTTAAACCAGCCACTTCTGGAGTTCTTGTGTGAAAGACAATTGAGCAGAGAAACACTTTGATATCAAAGTGCAGTGAAGGTTTCTGGGAATACTACTACAAAATTAGGGAATGTAGTGGTTACTACATGTGCTTTTTAAGAAGAAAGAGAGAGGTGCTTGAATTTGAAATTGGGATTATCATACAGTTGCTCATTGCTGCAGTCTCTTCCCAGTGACGTCTGTCAGGTAACAGGTAACATGGAACTTGTCAGGCAATTTGCTGACTAACATAATTGAATTCAATTTTAAACATGTGATCAGCTACTTTAGAGATTTGAGACAAATATTTCAACCTGTGTGAAAGAGACCTTTTACTGTGTAAAGAAAACAGTCAGAGAACCAGGGATAACCACACGTCATAGTTCAACTGGCAAACTGCACAAGTCACTAGCTGAATGCTTGGTGCCTAGATTTGACATGCAAATCCTCAGCTTTTTTGGTGATTCACTTCAGGGCATGAGAAGGATTTTCAGTTTATTAATAATAATTTCACAATTGGGAAGTTGAGAGAAGGGAAGAAAGCCTTTTTTTTTTGTTTTTTTTTTTTTTAATCAACCCATGAAAGAGGACTGAGGCAGAGACCTGTTTCTGAGATTGTGTTGATTTGTGGTCAGAAATCTGATAAATTTTGCAACACATTGCTTCAAAATGGATTCATAATCTTACATGTACGGGATTTTTAAGGCTTATTTTTTATTGCTTTTTAAAAGCTGTATTTGTGCACTATACAACTAATTTCTGTTCCATAGTTTCAGTAGCAGAGTAGGAATTGGGGGGGGCGGGATATCATATTCATGTTATTGTGACACCAGAGTCTGGAAAACATAGCAATAGATGATTACTTTTCTTTGCAGACTGGTACCAGTAGCAGAAATAGTAACTATAAGTCTAGATTTAGCGGAAAAGAGAAAGTTAACCTTGTCTGAAAAATGAAGAAAAGACCAGTCATCAGAGTAAAAACTAATGCATAAATGGAACATTAATGACTTAAATTTATGTTCCATGCTTGCTCATTTTATTTTTAAGTCACTGATGTTAATGGGGGTATAAATCACTTAAACTCATCCTTCTACCTTTACCTTGTAATTCAAAGCAATGAAAATTGGTGCTGAAAAAATATACTGGAGGGAGCAGAGATGTGTTTTCCCTTGCCATTTCTGTGTAACAGGTCATTCTGCCCTGGTGAAGCCTTGTGCCTTCATGCTCTTCTGATCAGTACAGTACAGCTTAGTCTCCAGTCTATTGTTCTGTAAAGCTTATGGAGCGTTCTATTTCAGCATGTTCTCTTGATTGAGTTTCTGTTGTTCTCATTAATAAATGTGTATTCGCACTACTCGCTGTTTCATAAAGCTCTTTGATAAAGACTCAACTGTTCCAACATGGCTGTGTTTTTTCTCACCGTAAAATAATGTCTGTTGATGGAATCACTACAAAAAGGAGAATAAATTTTCCTTCTAGAATTAGCTGGCCATGGACCAACAATTGTTGTATTGTAGTAGTGTCTACATTGTATTGTAGTGTCTTCATTCAATAGCTTTGATCCGAATCTTGAGCCATAAAGTTATTCAGTCCTGGCTTACTGCAGTGCTGGTAAGAGGCTGAAATTTGGGGGAAGTCTGAGGCCTGGAAATCCTTCTCTTAGCATTACCATAGACACAGTACAGTGTCCTGTGTGAAACTGGTGGGAAAGGGTCACAGTTGTGCACAGAGCAGGCATGGTTTTCCAAGGGACCTCTCTTGTGGAGTCAGCAAATTTTTAGCAGTAAACACATCCATGATTCAAAGGCTGATTGATCTGAGGAAGTGAAGCCTTCCTGGATTTTCTCCGTAAGAATTAAAAACTTTGAGTGGATTGTACAGAGCAGATAAGGAAGAGAACTGGGTGTAAAGAGCTGGAATTCCAAACCACCAAGAGTGAGTTTGTCTTTCCAAAACTTCAAGCAGAGAATGGTCCTGACTCGTGGTAGTGGTGTTCTTCCAGTTTTGTGACTGGGTTAGCTTTCACCTGCCATGGTGGGAAGCTGCTCTTTTTGTAAGAGCAGCTCAGTCCAGACCTGGATGGTCATTATCCTGCTTCATGTAGCATGACTTTTAGTTGAAGTGGTGCAGGTCAAATCATAGTCTCTGACACTGCCAGTTCCCTGTTTGCCACAATATGGCTGTGAGTCTTTAAAAGCACTCAACAGTTCAGTTCTGGGTGTGGGAAAGGATTCTGCCACAGGGTTACTTTGCACACTGATCACCAGGAAGATGTTCCTAAAGGACTTAAATGGAGTGCGTTTGATATAGGCCATTAAGATTTGTGGATTCTGCAATAATATTTTTAGAACTGATTTCCAAATGTAGAGCCATGCTTTAATTTCTGTGGAGGACTGGTTGGGTGACCCTTGTAAATGCATGATTTGGCTTGAAAGAAGCACATCTGTATCTAATGAGTCTAATTAGAAATTTAAAAACTGCATTTTAATGGCTTCGGGTGAGTAGAAGAGGACTTTAATACAGAGGCTGTGTCTTGATGTATATGTGGTAGGGAAGGAGAAAGAAAACATGGCCTTGTGAAATCTCTCACTAATATTTTCCAGTTTTTTAGGCATGTGCACAAAATCCCACAAAATTTGAGTTATTCGGTGTTGTTCAGATTTCTGGAGATAAATGCTCTTACACTCTTCCCTCATCTTGGTTGGAATGCAGGTGAATGTCCAGAATGCCACTGGTATGCCCTGCTTAGCTGTGGGGTAAGTACTACTTTGAAGCACCTAATATTCCTGTGTGTCAGGAAAATGACAGCATATTTTCAGCTGTATGTGGAAACATAGAAGTGTGTCATGACATAATGATTGGAGTGCAGATCCTCCCTCCATGACACAGTTTGGTTGCAGAGGGACAGGAGGGTTATGTGACAGTGAATCTGTCCATTTCCCCTCTACACAGGTTTTTGTTGTGTGATACAAGCCAATTTTAGAGCTCTTTTTGAAAAATAATTAGAAGGCCATATTTCAGGGTTCACAAAAAAACACAGAATTAGAGTAGAAAAGACCCAAATGATGTCGCACTGTAGAAAGGATGAGCAGAATTCAGGCAAGCTGGGATTTGCATGGCAGCTGCTTCCAAAGTGGACCATGCACTCTGGGTCTGAGCAATGCTTTTTCCTTCCTGACAGTGGTGTTCTAGGAGGGGTATTGAAAGGCAAGTAAACAAATCATTATGTAACCAAGTTTCTCTAGTTTTCCTAGTCAGGCAACAGTCTGTTACATTTTAGAAAGAAATCCTGAGAGCTTGATCTTAAGAGAAAAAATCGGGCTATGAATTGGTGTCATCAAACAACCCCCAGATAACAACTTGCAAAGCACAAATCATGTGGACAAAGGGTGAAGTTTGACCACAGGGTAGCACAGCACTTGGAATCAGAATGGTATGAAAAGGTTCAGAAAAGGCCCCTGTGAGAGCATCATGTGTTTTTAACTCTCATCTTGTTTTTGAGGCTGTAAACTTATCCCTTCCACCCTGTTCTTCAGTTTCTTTGTTCCTGGCTCTGATGCATCTCCTATTGTCCCCAGTAGCCCAATGTTCCTCTGTATAATGGTTGTCGAGGTTCTCCTAGTGTGCCTTTTTGGAGGTTGGTTTGTTTCTTTTTTTAATTATAGGTTGTAATTTCTTTCAGGTGGAAGGTGAATTAAAAAAAATCTAAGCAACAGATTAAATTGCTCAGTTACAATAATGCTGGCTCTTCTGTCTCTCACACAGACTTGGATGAAATGGAAGATGTGTTTAGAAGAAGAACAGTATTGGAGAAACCTGCACTAGTGTTTCAGAACCTTTAAATGAGTCAGCTACCACCACATCATAACAGAATACAGCCCCTCACGTCCTGCTGTGCTCCATTGTCGTTAGCAAAGTTCCTTCTTTTCTTTTTATGAATTAATTTCAAAATCTAAATCAAAATAAAAATTCATTCACCTCTGCAGCTCTGACGTCCTGTTACAAAGCTCAGTGGTTGTGCCTGTCCTTGCTGTGTGTACGTTCCATGGGAGAGCAGTGCCATGCCAGCCTGGCTTTGTGAGCACTGCCTCCTCAGGCCCCTCACCTGGCATGGGCAGGGAAGGGTGTGACTAGCAGCCTACCAGCCAGATTCAGTGCAAACCATCTGCCTCTCACAGCAGGGCTGGGTAATGATCTCAGCGTGTTTCACGCCCTGGGAACTTGGTGCAAACATGTTCTCGTATGGTGGGTGACAAGGAAATCCTAAACATTTCCAGCCTGTGGAGAGACTGAAATCAGTGGCCAAATCAGGGGTGGGACAGATGCTGAGAGTCAGCAGAAAGGGTGATGCTGTGGACTAAAAAGGGTCATTCCACCACACAGCACTTACAGATTGAGCCCTGGCACACTGAGCATCATTGGCTTGGCCACCTCAGGGAAGGCAGTTCACTGCGCTCTGCTTTTCCCTGTGGAGACAAGCTGTTCTCTCTGCACAGCCCAGGGCACCTCTCCTATTTCTGTCACCAGCCTGCATTCTGGGGGTGGTTGTGCTACCACTGATTGCTTGTTTCATTCAAACAGGGAAGGAAGGGTCTTGGTGGATGTGGCTTTTATCCCATTATCTTTAATTTCAGAGCTACCCTCTGTAACACTGCAGTGCAGGGGAAGCTCATCTCATTCTGGTCAGATGGAGCTATGAAATGTAAGTCATTGTAATCTGTAAACCTTCATTCTCCTGGGGTCCTTCTTACTTACTGTTCATAGCCAGAATGAAGCAGCATTTTCTGAGCTGGCTGAGGATGGTGGGAAGTGGAGACGAGAGGAGAGGAAGTGCAGCTCTTGAGGCCAACAGAGCATGTTCATTCTCTCTGAAGTCTGTTTCTCCCTTTTCTCCAATATTGCACATCTGTCTAAGTTTGGAAAAAATAGCACAAGACGACTTGGATACAGGCTTTCTGTGTGAGAGAATTATGGACAGCTGGAGCGGCAAAGGAATTTTGGAGTTCATATAAAACTCATGAAACGTACTTATGCATCTAATATCTCAGAGCTGAAGCTCTGAGACTACAGAGTAGGAGAAACATTTCATTGGCTGTCATGGGTCATGCTGGAATTAAAATACGTCATGATTCCTGCTGAAGTGATCTTGCTCTTTAGTATGCTGGAGCTCCGTTTAGTCAGTGTCCATGGAAAATAAGACCTCTGAGTTGGGTCTTCTAGCTGGTTTTATTCCTGGACAGAAGGAGCATTGTGTCTTTGAAGCCATGTTGTCTGGGGTGTGAACAAGAGAGAATTTCCACTGTCTTTTTCCTGGACCATTTTTTAGATGTATCTTTTTCAATAGCTGATAGGTGCTATTCAGACTGTTCCAAAAGCAGCAGAGTAAAGCAGAGCTGGTGTTGTTAATTTTTACTGCCCACAATTCTTGTCTTCACTCCAACAGAAGTACCCAGAACATCTGTTCTCACTGTGCTTGCTGGTGGGCAGAGCTCAAGATGCCATGAAAGTCCTGTCTGCAGATGGAGGACAGTACTGCATTACCTCACACGTTGAAGCAAAGGGATCAGGACTTCATTGCTTTCATGTGAAAAATTTGCTTTTCTGGTAGATGTGGTCATCTCTGTGTTTGGGACTGAGTTCTGGCCTGCTGTTTCTGTTTGTCTTGGCTTACATAAGCAACAGCTCATAAATCTACAATTTAAACCAGAGGACACCAAGGTAAAAAGCTGCATTGTACTTCATCTCTGTCTCACAACATTAATGCACCTGAGTTAATCTCAAGAAGTGAATTGACAGATTGACAAGTCCAATTTTTTAATCCAGTTGTTCTTTCATTTTGATGATCAGATAAAGCCACTGATCCTTAAATGAGTCAAAACCTTCAAATCTTGGACAATAAATACCTTGTCATAGTTTCCAAAACCAATTATAAACTACAGCTTTAAAAGCTCTTTTAATTATTTTTTAAAAAACCCTTCAGATAAATAAACTTTCATCAGGTTAGATGCTTCCTTCAGAAACTTGCTGTACATGAACTGAGACAAATACAAAAGGAAAATCTGACTCCCATATGGTGTTTCAAGCTATTTTCTGGTTGGCAAGCTGAGTATACCAGTCCTAAAAATGTTAATAAGCCTTTTGTAAATGAGTTTTAACTTGTTAATTAAGAATTTCTAGCTATGGTTGTGACCTACAGGGAAATGTTTAATTGGCTGTTTTCCCTAGCTGGTTCAGTGTCTTCTTACTAGAAAGAAGGAAGAGGGTATACTTATGGGACTTGAATGCCTCAGACCTAGCATAAGCCAGGGTTCCTGTATTCAACACTGCTGCAGGAATTTTCACTGGTGACCTCTTTAAGGAAGGTCTCTACATTTTAGGGCAGAAGAGCATTGCTTGCCTGCCTCAATTTGCCCTGGGAGATGAATAGAGGTAGTGGGATGGCAACAGAAACGTGCTGTTCTCTGGTGGAGTGTGGTCCAGATTTCCATGCAGGTGGAGTCTCCATGCCTGAGGATATTCAAAAGCCATCTCATCATGGTCCTGGGCACCCAGCTCTGGGTGCCCTTTTTTGAGCAGGGGAAATTGGACCAGGAGACCTCATGAGGTCTCCGCAAACCCGAGCCAGCCAGTGATCCTTCTTAGCCGGCAAAAGGAGGAAAGGGCTCACAAAGCTCTCTGTGAGCCAGGAGCTGAGAGAGGTGCAGCAGGACAGAGAGGAATGGGCCATTTGCAACCACCAGCCTGTTCTTGGAGGAGGTGTAGCCAAGGTATGAAAGAAAACACTTGATGTTCCCAAATGAGATGGAGAGTTTGTTCTTGTAACCAAAACATGGGCTTGGGTCCCTTGTCAAGCAGAAGCGTTTTCATGTGACTTGGACTGGTGTTCCATCATGCAAATGATGTTCTCTTGCTATCTGCTAGAAAGCCATCAAATTACTGGATGCTGTGCTAAATTCCACTTGTTTCTTTGCAGTTAACTACCCACAGAACTCATTCAACACTTCTTACAATGACACCTGCTTTCCCTGCTCCAGAAATGCAGCCACTCTTGGAGACAGCAGCATGCTGTGGGCATGGGGGCAAAGCAGGGAGAAGATGCTGTGTGGGCAGGATCACTACCATCACTTCCAGTTAGATGGGACTGGATTTTTCTAGTCAAGTGGAGAACACTTTGGTACCTTATACAAACAGGCTTTCTGCAGTACTGAAAACAACCAGAAGAATATTTGTATAAAATTCATTTAGGACCTCCTTCCACTTGTATTTTAGATTCAGTGATTTGTCACTGTGCTGCAGCTTCCTTTTTAAATGCTTGGTTGTAGCTGAAAACATATTTTAGCAAGTTGCAGTCAAAATCTGGAAATCCAGTCACGTCCATGTACACCCGTTATTGAGTTTAATGAGAACTCTGTGTCTGCAACAAATGGCACCGCCATTTGTCTTCATCTAATCATATGTGAAATCCTTCATTGCTAAAATAATCTCAGTAAATTTGGGGTGAATCCCTGATTAAAAGTAACTGCCTTTTAGCAGTGACCATCTGGAAATGCCTGTTGCAGAATAGCTGTGAAGGGTGAAGGATCCCTCCTTCTCTGTTCCGTTTAAAACATCCTGAGTAGAGTGTTTCATTTGAGAGAGAACAGCCACATGGTTGTTACCACTGTTGCAAACCACTTCACTGATTCAAATGCACTGAGATGAGCAGACAATGCGAACAAGTGCACAGAAAATGATGACTGAGGTCTGTATGTGCAAGAAAGCCTTTAAAGTAAACACTGTTGGAAGAGTGAACAATATTCTGCTTATTAATGTAGATTGGAATTTCCTGCTAGCTGAGAATAATGCAAAGGTCACTCACCAGCTGCAAGCGAACAGCATGTGGTTGGTTCTAAAATTAGTTAATCTCTAGCATTTCCATCTCTTTTCCCTGCATTTCTTGTTCTCTACCTTAAGCCTGGGAATCCAATTAAAGATACTGTAAGCTTGAAAGAAAATTTTTTTTTATTTGTTCTCTGTAAACTTCTGTTAACTGCTGCAGTTGAGATAACTAAGTGTTGCCTATCATTATGGCCAGGGTATTATTATGTCCCTAAAACTTTCCAAAGATTCAGTTACCTGATCTTAGCTGTTCAAAGTTATCTGCTGGAGTCTGCTAGCAACAACGTTATCTGCAATTATTTCAAACTGACTTTCAGAAAGTCAGGCTCAGAGATAATTCAGGAAGAACCTGAATAATGGCCTCGTAAAACCCTGACTTTCTTTTTGCCGATTAGCTGGGAGCCAGTGGTGCTGTGATGCAGCACTATGGCCAGTCTGGAGAAGGGAAAATTGCTGGAGCCTTGGATGGAAAGGAGGACAACAGCACTGCAGGCATAAAATGGCCCAGTGTTTTGTAATATGCAAGGCAGCACTAACTACTGAAGAAACTAACTCCAAAGACAATCTGCTTCGGCTTTAGGGAATCTTGCAGAGAGGTTTTAACTTAACAGCTGTATAAAATAAACAACTTCAGAGCAGAAGTACCTATCCTAGGACATGTGGCTTTAGAGGTGATTTGTGTGGTAGAGAGGGTGATCTTTAGAAACGTCATAGCTAGCAAATTACACAGAAGAAACTTATTAGGTTCAGGTGAGTTTAGGCACTGAGAGCCAGCATTGTGCTGTCTGGTTGTAATAAACCAAGTCTTCTCTGCAAAATATTACTGGGGAGATGCTAATTAGTCATTTACATTCCGCAGATGATGGATGAATAGTCACTCAGTTGCTGGTCTGTGTATGAATATTGTGTAGTGATAGCCTAAGGTGAGCTTTAGGCTCCTCTGTTGTGCAGGTGGATCTCTGTGCTCTGCTGAATAGTGAGCAGAGCAAAGCTGAGCTAGAGCAGGTATGAGAACAGCAAGGCATCATTTCATCACACAGCTAGTTCATGTTATAACAAGTGAGTATTTTGTCACAGATAAAAGAGTAAATTTTAAAAGCCCTGGTG